CAAGTGCAAATAATAAGGCTGAGGAATGAGCCGGGCTCGGGGCTGGGATTCGGTATTGTGGGGGGAACGTCAACGGGCGTAGTGGTCAAGACCATCCTGCCGGGCAGTCCTGCAGACAAGGTTTTTTATTATTTTTTATTTTATGTAACTATTTATTATTATATACAACAATAATTAATGAAGCCGTCGTTTATATCGATTTTTTGATCACTGTGATCAAATTTTTGATCACTGATCAAATTTTGGCGGGAAACGCTCGCTCTCATTTTTATCACGCAGTCAAAAAATGAGAGCGGGCGTTTTCCCGCCAAAACTGCTGGTATAGAAAGACGATCTAGCGTGGGTGGAATCATTGTGAGATTTGTTTGGGTGGTGTGCGGTTGGTTGTCTTGTCTTGGGGTTCGGGTGATTGGAGGCGATGTGGTTGGGTGGTATCATTGTTATTGATATGAATGGTTATTATTGATATGAACAGTGTGGTTATATTCTGTTGATATGAACGGTCGTGGCTGTGATATTTTTGTTATTTATTAATATTATTATTGTTAGTGCTGTTAGGTTATTCTATATAAACGCAAACGCGTCGCTTCTGTTCAACTATTGCAGCTATATTCCAAGCAAATTTATATGTAACGAATAATAAGTATATATAATGATAAATGTAATGATATATAATAATAGTAATAAGAATAAAAATTCAGGACAAGCGGCTCAAGGCGGGCGATCACATTCTGCGAATTGGGGAAATGAGCGTGCACGGGATGACNCTATATAAACGCAAACGCGTCGCTTCTGTTCAACTATTGCAGCTATATTCCAAGTAAATTTATATGTAACGAATAATAAATATATATAATGATAAATGTAATGATATATAATAATAATAGTAATAAGAATAAAAATTCAGGACAAGCGGCTCAAGGCGGGCGATCACATTCTGCGAATTGGGGAAATGAGCGTGCACGGGATGACGTCACAGCAAGTGGCGAATGTGCTGAGGCAGCAGAGTCTGGACGTGCAGCTGGTCGTCGGCAGACCTTGGCCACACGATTTGGGCAGCGGCGCTTCGTCTCGAGACTCACCGGGTCGGGATTTTTTATTATTATTTTTGTTATTTTTATTGTTATTTATTATATTTATTATTATTATTATTTACTATGTTTACTATTATTTATTACGTTCTTTGCAGATTGCTGGAAAATGGCGACGCGCGCGGCGTTGTGCCCGAAGAATCTAGAGGATGAGATTGTGCTGAGGGCACGCGAACGCGTGCAACCCGAGCAGGGGTCAAACGCGTCGCATGAGCCGGCGGGGTCAACCGCTTTGCGTGCGGCCGAAGAGGAGGAGCCAACTACTACTACAGTAGCAGTGGAAAATCGGAGTGCGGTCAGCGGCGGTGGTGAACGATCGAAGTGTAACGGAAACGGCCGCCGAAAAACGTCAGGGCAAAGTGAAGATTACGGTATTTTTCCGTCCGGAACCCATCCAGAGATGACGCCATCGACTTCTTCTGCTGCTGCAGCTCAAAATCAGCCATCGGAGGCAAGTTGCAGCAGCTCAAAATCACCTCAAAAACAGCAAACACAACGAAATCAAGAAGACAACGATAATAAAATTTCGAATTCACTTGGTAAGTAATAAATATATATAATAAATATTTATAATAATAATAAATATATAATAAAAATACGATAAATTTGAGAATCGCCAATGGAATCGACTGCCTCAAAAGTGCCTTTATCATTATTGTGCTCCTCTTCCTCAAATAATGGTCCCGAAACGAAAACTCAACAAGACGAA